CTAATTTGGACATACTTCTTTTCCTAACATGCATTTTCAGAGATTTCTCCCCAACAACCAGGTAACTATAAAGCAGTGAGAGGAAAACAGGAATGCATATATTAAAAATGGTTAAACTTGACATTTCACATGATTCACAATCAGGATTGAAATCATACAAAATCATGTGATGATCATTTCTCTCTGTGTATCTCTACCTTTTAAGGAAAGTGACAACTATAACAATGAATTCTAGAAATCAGAGATGGTAATTCCGACTCTTTCTTTGAGTCCCTATTTGGCATTGTAAAAAGACAAGGGAAAAGTCACCTTAAGCATCTGTGGGCTTGGGTTTTGTCATGTATAAAACAGGGCAATCGGCTGTGCAGTGGCTCATGCCTGTAATCCCAGCACTTTGGGAGGCAAGGGTGGGAGGATCACCTGAGGTCAGAAGTTCAAGACCAGCCTACCCAACATGGTTTCTACTAAAAATACAGGTGGCAGGCACCTGTAATCACAGCTCTTTGGGAGGCTGAGGCAGGAAAATGGCTTGAACCTGTGAGGCGGAGTTTGCAGTGAGCTGAGATCACGCCATTGCACTCCAGCTTAGGGGACAAGAGCCAGATTTCATCTCAACAGTTTAAAAAAAAAAAAAAAAAAAAAAAAACAGGGAAATCGATAATTCATTCTGCTTACATCTCATGATTGTTGTAAAGTTAAAATCAGAGTTTTTTCCAAAACCCTTTGATAAACCACTATGTGTTCAATGACAAATAAAAAGTAAAATGAGAAAATAGAAAGTAAAAATCTGCCCTGTTATTCATGAGACTGGATTAATAGATACAAAGTCAGTTGCAAAGTTAACAGGAAACGATATTTCTCCTAAGAACTTGCTGCAGCTATAAAAAGTCACAACCCCCCACCGTAGGGGGTTCAGAAAATAAAATGCTACATTGTCAAACCAAAAAAAAAGTCACAACATATGCTTACCCAGAATCCTCTTTTTTGAATGAAAACTGCTTTCTTACTCGTTAAGGAAATTTGCCATCAAAAATCACACACACCTCTGCTTCTATTTCTTGCCTGGGGCAATGTTTGGAGATGGATCCCTGCATGAGTATGGGAATCTCTCCTCCTCCCTCCTTGCCCCCTATCCCACTCAACCACGCTTAACCCAGAACAGAACCTATTTTAATGGTTTTCATATGTAACAAATAGACTTCTAGTGTTCAAGACATTGTACATCTGTTAAAAATAGACGGTGAAGCCCAGGGTCAGTGGCTCAGGCCTATAATCCCAACCCTTTGGGAAGCTAAGGTGGGAGTATAGCTTGAGCCCAGAAGTTTGAGATCAGCCTGGACAGCATAGCAAGACCCCATATCTACAAATATTTGAAAAATTAGCTGGTTGTGGTGGCATGCACCTGTGGTCCCAGCTATTTAGGAGGCTGAGGTGGGAGGATGATTTGAGCCCAGAAGGTCAAGGTGGCAGTGAGCTATGTTTGCACCACAGCACTCCAGCCTGGGCGACAGAGAAGACCCCATCTCAAAACAAAAACAAAGGAACAGGGTGGAAACTATTTTTAAAATGCTTTTTTTACTTGTCAAAAAATGTATCAAACAATTAAAATGAGCCTTTTGTGAAAAATATGTACATTTTGACATTAACTTACCTCATTTGACATCATATACCTAGTATGTGTTTCCAAATTAGTTTTGTTCATAAAGTCCATGGAAGAGAAACAGTTGCTGGTTAATCAAATTATAAATTGGCTGGGTGTGGAGGCTCACGCCTGTAATCCCAACACTTTGGGAGGCCAAGGTGGGTGGATTACCAGAGGTGAGGAGTTCAAAACCAGCCTGGCCAACATTGTGAAACCCCGTCTCCACTAAAAATACAAAAATTAGCCAGATGTGATGACAAGCACCTGAAATCCCAGCTACTTGGGAGACTGAGACAGGAGAATCCTTTGAACCCGAGACAGAGTTTGCAGGGAGCCAAGATCATACCACTGCATCCAGCCTGGGCGACAAAAGTGAAACTCCATCAAAAAAATAAAATAATAATAAATAAATAATAAAGTTATAAATCATTTAACAATTAGCGCTGCAAACATGTTTGATTACTATTTCCCTCTCTCCTTTCTAAAGAAACAGACATCTGCTGAATTGAGATTCTGAATTCTCCATGTGACTTTGTAAAAGATCTTTAAACATTTATGTGCTTATGTTTCCGCATCTATAAAACAAAGATAATGACAGTCATCCTGCCTACCCCTTATGAATGTTGTAAAGATATGAAAACATGTTATTTCCAAAATTGTTTTCAAAAAAGTCTGTAGATAAGCCAAGGTACACTGAACAACCCCTACCAGAAAGACTATTATTTGGGTCTTTTGAGTCTTTTCAAATTTTTCATGACAATATTACATACCAAGCAATCAAAAATTACTCTTTTGTGATCTTTAGATGATGAGGGTTGTTTGGGGTGGAAATCAATACGTGAATGAAGGACCTCAACATAAATAGGTATGTGTTTTCTTCTGACGCCAAATGTATGGCATCTTTTCCAACAACAAACATATTGTTCCAATACCAATCAGTTCTTTAACTTCCCTGAAACCAACTGAATATCCAACCATTCAATTTAATCATTTATTTTAGCAATTACAAATGTTCAGGGTTTATTTAATACAACATAGCCTACCAAAATCTCTGAAAGTTGGGGTCAGTGCCAACTCTGACACTACCCAGAGTTGGCATTAACCCCACAGACTAAGATGTCAGTCCCACAAGCCTGCCCTACTGCAGATAACAGTATGAATGGGGTGACCAGGCCACCCACATTTCTGTGGAGAGGACTACAACTTTGGGGGCTCACAGGACTTCCCTCAGGTTGGATAATTCCTTGGAATGACTCACAGAACTCAGAAAGTATTCTACTTATGATTAGAGTTTTATTATAAAGAACACAACTGAGTGATCACTGGCTTTGTCGAGTGAGCCTGTGGAAGCATTCTGGTGGCTGGACGTGAATTGCAATTCGCAGTATCCTCCTAATGCTAACAGGTCAAAATGAAAATCTTCATGAAGACCTTGACTAGCAAGACCATCACCCTGGAGGTGGAGCCCAGTGACACCATGGAAAATGTGAAGGCCAAGATCCAGGATAAAGAAGGCATCCCCACTGACCAGCAGAGGCTCATCTTTGCAGGCAAGTGGCTGGAAGATGGTCACACTCTTTCTGACCAGAACATCCAAAAAGAGTAGATCCTGCACCTGGTCCTCCATCTGAGGGGTGGCTGTCAAATCTTTTTTTTTTTTTTTTAGACCAAGTCTCACTCTGTCACCCAGGCTGGAGTGCAGTGGTATGATCTTGGCTCACTGCAACCTCCACCTCTTACCTCAGCCTCCTGATTAGCTGGAATTAAAGGCATGCACCACCAACCCTGGCTAATTTTTGTATTTTTTTAGTAGAGACGGGGTTTCATCATGTTGGCCAGGCTGGTCTCGAACTCCTGACTTCAAGTGATCCATGTTAATTCTTCAGTCTTGCATTCGCAATGCCCAGTGATGGCATTACTCTGCACTATAGCCATTTGCCCCAACTTAAGTTTGGAAATTACCAGTTTCAGTAAACAGTTGAACCTTTTAATAAAGGTTTTGTTGCACAGGGAGAAAAAAAAAAAAAAAAAAAAAAACTCAGGAAGAATATAGGGCAAGGTAGAGAAGGAGGGAAAGAGTTTTCATGCCCTCTACAGGTGAGACTCCTTCCCACCTCCCAATACATAAATGCAGTCACCAATTCAGAAACTCCCTGAACCCTGTTGTTTAGAGGTTTTTATCAAGGTTTCATTTTATAGGCATGACTGATTAAATCACTGGCCATTGGCAATTGACCTCAATCTTCCACCCTTCATTTCTCCTCAAATGTCGAGGTTTAGGGAAAAATCTTCCAATCAAGTGGTTAGTACTTATAAGACCCCATCATCCTGGAATTTCCAAGAGTTTTAAGGACTTTGTGCCAAGAAAGGACAAAGATCCTTGTCCTATTTCGACAAAGATCAAATATGTATTTTTTAAAGTATACCACAGTAAGCCTGATCACCTGTGTATCAGTCTGTTCTAGCATTGCTATAAAGGGACTACCTGATATTGGGTAATTTATGAAGGCTGTAAAGGAGGCACAGCCAGGAGGCCTCAGGAAACTTACAATCATGGAGGATGGCAAAGGGGAAGCAAGTGCACCTTACCATAGCAAAGCAGGAGAGAAAGAGTGAAGGGGGACGTGCTTTAAAAAATCAGATCTCATGAGAACTCACTCACTATCTTGAGAACAGCAAGGGGGAATTCCTCCCCCATTATCCAATCGCCTTCCTCCAGCCATTTCCTCCAACACTTGAGATTACAATTCAACATGAGATTTGGGCAGGGACACAAATCCAAACCATATTATTCCTCCCCCGGCCCCTCCCAAATTTCATGTCCTTCTCACATTGCAAAATACAATAATCCCTTCTCAACAGTCAACAGCCCCCAGTCTTAACTCATTTCAACATTAACACAAAAGTCCATAGTCCAAAGTCTCATGAGACAAAGTAAGCTCTTTAGGTCTATGAGCCTATAAAATCAAAAACAAGTTAGTTACTTTCAAGATACAATGGGGGTACAGGCATTGGGTAAATGCTCCCATTCTAAATGGGAGAAATTGGTGAAAACAAAAGGACTACAGACCCCATACAAATCTGAAACCCAGTGGGGCAGTCTTTCAATCTCAAAGAGATTTGGGTGGGGACACAAATTCAAACCAGATCAATGTGAAAGGGAAAAACAACAGAAATATCCTAGCTTCTTTCTAACCTAATGCCAATACTAGAGCATACGTATGCAATGAAAGTTGCCTCCCCCATTTCCCAAAGTGCCAGGAGAGGTGAGAGCAGAGAAAGGGCACCAGAGAATAACTGGACCATGGCTGTGGAGTGAACTCCATTTGAAATGCATTAGGAAGTAGGTGCTCTGAACTCAAGATGCCTGAAGTCCTGGAGCACCGCACGAGTGGTCCTTGCCCTTCTCACCAGGTCCAGGTTCTGATGCTGTGCTCGAGGCTTCCAGCAGCTCTTCGTCATCACAGGAATCAGAGTCTTCACTGCTGATCACTGCACAAAGGAACAAAATCCCTTAGGGTATCAGTGTGGGACCCCAGGTGCCAACACAGCAGGAAACCCACAATTAGGGGCACCAGGAAAGACCTGGGAACTTGTGCAACTTGCAAGAAGGAATGTCCCTGCTCAGCATGGTTGCAGTGCCCCTGCGGAATCCTGGACCTGCAAGGTCCTGGTGCTCCAGTCACTGAAACTAGACCCTGAGGCTGGGGACAAATGGCCGCAGTGGCCAGCTTTGGTAACTTGCTCTCCATCTCCTTACCCCCTCTTTCTTCTTCCCCTTCCCATTGTCTCTGTCTATTTCTCCACTCCTGCATCTTTCTTGCATCTTCTCCCTCTTTGTTTCTCAATCTCTGTATGTCCTCTCTCTAGCATCTCTTTTGCCTCCTTGCGCCTCTCCTACTCTCTCCTGGCTTTCTTGCATTACATACCTGCCTTCTGTGTCTCCTCTGAGCCGCTTCCTCCACACCCAGCTCTCTCTGCACTTTTCTGTTTTCCCACCAACTTTCCTCTGTGATGCAGAAGCTCCCTGAACTGAGCACCAGACTCCCAGCATTCATCAGGCTCCCCTGGGCCACCACGTAGGACTCTGACCACACACCCAGCCTGTCACCTCTGCTGTGACTCACACAGTGTCACCGCATCACAGACACCCTCTGCCAGCCTTACCAATTATTTCGGGGACTTGATTACACGCCGTTCTTGCCATCTGTTTGTCTTCCAGGTGCACAAAACTAGGTTCCACCCGATTTTTGGATCTGAATAGCTTTGCCCCTAGAACAAATAATAATCCTTGAAGAATTTTCATCTTTCCCCCTCAAAAAAAGCCAGCCTCATGGTGCCCCTCTTCCTCTCTCTCTCCCCACTTGACCTCAGAGGATCACTCTGGCACTAAATTTCACCTCCTTTCATACTGCGTCACTCCAGATACGTTTCTTACTTTCTGTCTTTCTCTCAGTATTTATCTTTTTACCTTGAACTCTATTTTGTTTTCTCTTTTCCCTTTACCTGCCATTCTTATTTACTAACTGATAATTAGTAATTATTCAGTCTTGGCTGAATTTTATGTTCTTCATTTAATTAACTTAATCCTTAGTAAAGACCTTAAGTTCTTAATTCATATACTTATTTCCACAAAAGTAGCTTATTACATGTACATGTACATATAAATATAATTTTTAGGCTGGGCACAGTGGCTCACACCTGTAATCCCAGCACTTTGGGAGGCCAAGGTGGGCAGATCATCTGAGGTAGAGAGTTCGAGACCGGCCTGACCAACATGGCGAAACCCCATCTCTACTAAAAATACAAAAATTGCTGGGCATGGTGGTGCATGCCTATAATCCCAGATACTCAGGAGACTGAGGCAGCAGAATTGACTGAGCTCAGAAGGCGGAGGTTGTAGTAAGCCAAGACTGCACAGCTGCACTCCAGCCTGGATGACAGAGCAAGACTCTGCCTCAAAAATAAATACATAAAAATAAATAGGCTGGGCATGGTGGCTCATGCCTGTAATCCCAGCATTCTGGGAGGCCGAGGCAGGCAGATCATGAGGTCAGGAGTTTGAGACCAGCCTGGCCAATATGGCAAAACTCCGTCTCTACTAAAAATACAAAAATTAGCCAGGTGTGGTTGCACACACCTGCAATCCCAGCTACTAGGGAGACTGAGGCAGGAGAATTGCTGAACCCAGGTGGCGGAATGTTGCTTGCAGTAAGCTGAGATCCTACCACTGCACTCTAGCCTGGGCAGCATAGGAAGACTCTGTCTCATAAATGAATAAAATAAAATTATTAGAACTATTTTTTGTGAAGCTTTCCATATAAATGCATCAGTAATGTCACGTTTGCCAAAATATGTGTCCAGTTTTTGGGGCACAAAAATATGAGTACTTTCATTTCCTGACAAATATGAAGTGTACCCTTTACTATATGCCAGACACCCTCATGCTAGGTTGGAAGGACATAGTGAGAATAAACAGCCGTGGTCCAGAGAGAGCACATGCTAAGCACATGATCGCAGCGAGGCAGGAGTATTATCTCACAGCAAGCAGGAAGTGCTCTGGAACGGACAGGCTCGTCCAAGAGACAAGATGAGGCTTGTGGGAGGAAATATCATGTGAGCAGGAAGGAGCCAGATTAGGGAGGAGATGAGAAGGATAGAGGCCAAGAAAACAGATCCAGATAGAGGACAGAGCATGGGCAAAGTAACCTGAGTAACTAAAAGAAATCAGTATGACTTCTTGGAGTGAGAGAATAGAGGCTGGAGAAATGGGAAGGGTTCTCGTTGCCCAGCCTTGGAAGCGTAGTCAAAGGATCAACTTAAATCCAAGTGTCATGCCAGTCATTGGAGGGCAGGTAGGAAGACAGCACAGACACACCTGAACTTTAAGATGTGGCAGCTGACATTCATGGGAGAGTTTTCAGAGATCTGATTCACATCACAGCATTAGGGATAGAGAAAAATGGTCAGGTTGCAAATGCCAACAGGTACAGTGCACAGGGCTGGATGGCTGATGGGGTATGGGGGTTGAGGGAGCGAAAAACTCAGGAGGATTCTTGAGTTTCTTGCTTGAGAAAACTTGACAGTAATGGCCACTTTACCAAAAAGGGAACTCTGGAAGAGGAGAGGAAGGGGATACGGAGGAGGATGTGGTTTCATGGAAGAATATGTCTCCTCTCTCCCTCCCACACTGACCTCCACATTTCTTATTTGCTCTTCACACTCGCTCTCTCTTCCTGGCTCCTTCATGCCTCTCCCCTACTTTCTCTTTTCCTGGTATTTACTCTTCCCTCTATGTTTCTCTCTCCGTATGATTTTTCTCACTGTCCCTTGTTTGAGTTTTCAGTTTGTCTCTTCTCTGCCATGTCTCTTACTTCCTCCCCTCTGTCTCTGTGTCTTTGAGGCTTCCCTTGACCTTGACGCTCTGTCTGCCTCGACTCTTCCAAGCATTTTCTTCCTATATCTTGTCCTTGTCTCAAAAGTCACGTCATTCCTTTTTTGGCTTTAACTGTACCACCAGGGCCCCTTCCCCTTGCCCTCCCCATTCTGAAGGTCATCTACAATAACCTTTCTTCATTGCAAATCTGATAGTCATACACGTTGTTTGTCTGATCTTGTGGCAACTTCTAGCAAGCAGGACAAAAAGTCTCCCTGTCAATCCTCCACCAACCTGGGAAAGCCTGGATGTCATGTCCACTTAGGTAAAACTGGACTCACTGCTGAAACTTGCTATTCCATGGCCCAATCATCCACCTTTTCCATACTCATGCTGTCAGGTTCTCCACCCAGGGTGCCATGCTTCAGGGAGGCATTCAGCTCTCCTTTGTCTCCTGCCTGGAAGACTTAGGGCACTTACTCTCAGGCTCCCGCCAGTGAGAACCTCTGACAATGGTAAGGCTGGGCACATCACATGCCTCGTCCTGCTTGCCTCCCTCGCAAATTCAAAAGCAGCCAGAGGCTGGGCTCCTATGGGGGAGGGAGGGAGGGGTGGGAGGAAGAGAAGCCCTTCCTCCCTCCACCCCATGATCTAATCAGGTAACTTAAAGGGCGGGATTCAATTGCAGTACGTTGCCTACCACATGGTAGTCCGCTGGGCATCTCTTCTGACCCTCTCTCCCTTTTTACTTGGAGAACTTTGTGTTCCCTAGGCACTGAGTAGAAAGAACACAGAATGTGAGACCAGATCCCGTGGCCGGGAGATGTGACCACACTGAGCTCTGTGGTTGGGAGCAGAAGGGAACTGCTACTGGGGAGGCGATGTCCCTCTCCGAGGATCCAGCCAAGCCCAGCTCTGCCTCTTCCCCTCTTGTCAGACGTTGCTCTCTCGCTCTCTGTCTCCTGCTCAGCCTTCCACCAGGATCCAAACCCCAGGCTTCTGCCCTAGGAAGGCATTTCTGCATCGTGGACTTCGCCAGCTTCTCTCTTATCTCCCAGTGCATCTGCCTCTCTCTCCTCTCCAGCAGTGCTGCAGGAGTACATGTTCCTCATTCTCTGTTTTTCCCTTCTCACCTCTCTCCTGCATCTCTTCCAACCTACAGATCAGGCTTCAGTCCTGTTCCCTCTGTCTCTTTGTGTTTTTTTCTGTCTTCCTCACAGCAACTAAAAGACATATCTTTCTTTCCATTACGTCACTGTCTGCCTGCAGTGGACACCGATCTATCCTTCTACTGTCATTCAGGAGTCCTTGGGATCTCTTTTTTAGATATTGATCAAGTGACACTGCACTGCCTTCCCCTTTCTGTGTGTGCTACAGATGCCTACCACTAGTCACCCATGCAAACACCTGGCCATCATCAGCCTTACCTACTTGACTGCATGTGTTTGCCTGCTGTGTTCCAAGAGCATCACCTGGGCCAAAGATAGAATGTTCTAGCTTTATACATGTTGACTTCACATCCCAGACAGGCTTAAAGGTTTCTGTTCTGGTTCCAGATCAGATGGCCCCTAGATGACATTATGATTTTATGAATATGACACTGTGATGTCATAAATCAAAACCTAAAGTTTTTATTTAAATGCATTCAGAAATTAATCAAATATCCTCTCCAATCATATGTCCCAATTATCAATGGCATCAGAATGACCTTCCACAGTTCCAAGAGTTCTCTTATACTTCCTCTATGTCATTCATTTCAGAAAAAGTGATCATGAAACACTGAACAAAGAAATAAAATCTGTTATGGACTATATGGTCTAAGGATGAGGAACATTAGGAAAAATGTAAACAAGAAGATGACTGAGAATCTAGAAACAGTGACTAGTTGTGGCACAAAAGTACAAAAGAGCTTTTGAAGAGGCTCATCTGGTATCTGAAAGGTAGCTCCTAGCTGCCTGCCCCAGGGATGAAGGGTGAGGGAGTGTGAGGCACAGTGGTGCCATGGTCCTATGTGAAGGACCCAACAGGGAAGATAGTCCGTCCCACAGAAGGAACATGCCTCCCGCCACCACAGCACGGGCCATCACTGGATATACGCTCAAAGCACCAAGGCAACAACCAGATTCAAGCAGACACAGGCAGAAAATGGTGAAGCAGACACATGGGTAAAAAGAGCAGGCTCAGCACTAGCAGGAACCAGCGGCAAGTGTGTGTAAGGGGTGTGGGAGGAAGAAGCCCTCCCAGGAAACCTGGAGGAAAAGGACTTGTTATTTAAATCCTGAACCTGGAGATTCTGCAGATACAAACACTAAAACTTTGGGGTAATCATAAACACAAAGAGGCAACCCTTTCTTCCCTTACCCCCAGCACATTCCAGAATGGGGCAAGAACAGCAGAGGATCACAGCACAGTCAACAGGAACAGACCAACAGAAGATGAAGAATCTGAGCACAACCAGGTCAGGCTTTGAAAAGGGTCTTCACAGCCAGGTGTGGTGGCTCACGATCTATAATCCCAGCACTTTGGGAGGCTGAGGTGGGAGGATCGCTTGAACCCAGGAGTTCAAGGCCAGCCTGGGCAATATGGTAAGACCCTATCTCTACAAAAAATTAAAAATTAGCTGGGTGTGGTGATACATGCCTATGGTCTTAGTTACTTGGGAGGCTGAGATGAGAGGATCGCTTCAGGCCAGGAGTTCAAGGCTGTGGTGAGTTATGATTGTGCTACTATACTCCAGCCTGTGAATCTGTCTTTAAAATATATATATAGAGAGAGAGTTTTCACCATCAGGAGCTGGCAGATGCTGCCTGAATCTCTTTTTTTTTTTTTTTTTTTTTTTTTTTGGAGACAGAATCTCACTCTGTTGCCCAGGGTGGAATACAGTGGCACAATCGCAGCTCACTGCCACCTCTGCCTCCTAGATTCAAGCAATTCTCCTGCCTCAGCCTCCCAAGTAGCTGTGACTTCAGGCATATGTCACCATGCCTGACTAATTTTTGTATTTTTTTGTAGAGATGGGGTTTCGCCATGTTGGCAAGGCTGGTCTCGAACTCCTGGCCTCAAGCGATCTGCCCACCTCAGCCTCCCAAAGTGCTGGGATTACCAGTATGAGCCACCATGCCCAACCCTGCCTGATTCTTAAAGACAGACTCCAGCCCCAGGAGTGGAGGACTGGGTCACTGCACCCTGGGCTGAGAGGGCCTTGGCCAGACGACCTTGCTAAGTGTCCTTCATGGACACTCAGGTAACCGACGACGGTAGAGTGAATCTGCCTTTGTCCCCAGAGCTGCTCTGCCCAGGGCCCTTAGCTCAGTTCCTGTGAAGTCCTGGTTGCCTCGTTCCCACCCCCTTTTAGATCATACTCTCCCTCTCCACACCTGTTCACATTTTCTCATTGGCCTTTCCCTGAGGACTCAGAGTTTGAGTCGCTCCACTTCCTCCCGCTCTTTGTATTCTTTTCTCTATATCTTTTTTTCTGCATCTATTTCCCCATTTTTGTTTCATGTTTCTGTTTCTATCTTTTCCATTAGATTCCCTGGGCAACAAGAAGAATGTAACTTCTGTCACAATAGCTGGAAGATGGAAACAACTCATCATTCACTGATGAATGAATAAACAAAATGTGGTATAGCCATATGATGGAATATTATTCAGTCATCAAAAGGAACTGAGATTCTAATTCATGTTACCACATGGATAAAACCTGAAAACATCTTGTTAAGTGAAAGAAGCCCAGACACAGAAGGCCACATATTGTGTGATTCCATTTACATGAATTCTTCAGTGTAGGCAAATTTATAGAGGTGGAAAGTAGATTACTGATTGCCAGGGATTCCGAGAAGAGGGAAATTAGATGCTTGGTTAAAGGGCACAGAGTTTCCTTTTGGGGTAATTAAACCATTTTGAAACTAGAGAGAGGTGATGGTTGTACAACATTGTGAATATACTAAATGTCACTGAATTGCACACTTTTTAAATGGTTAACATCTGAATTTTACCTCCTTCCCTCCAAAAACAACAACACAGGCTCTGGGTTCATCTTTGCTCATCTGACACTAGGCAACCCCATACATTGTCCTTCTGGATTTCAGTTTCCTAATCTGCAAAATGGACACATAAATAATACTAATCTTCAATTGCAGCCATGAGCACTAAACCCACAGCTGCCATGGAGTAGGCGTTCGATCACAGTGAGCTGTTAACAACACGGTTATTTTTATTGCTTACCGTCTTTCATTTCCCCTCCTTCTTCCTCTCTCTCTCTCTCTCTCAGAATACCTACATATTGTTCTCTGCATCTGCATCACTTCCTCTTTGTGTCTCTCTGCATGACTACCTTTCTGTTTGAATATTCCTTCTCCTGAACAACATGCCACGGTTAAATCAGCCCCTTCTGGCATCACCAAGAGTATCTTCTTTGACGTTGTTGGCCATAGGTGCATCCTTCTTACCCTTCACAGCTTCTCACTGAAGGTCTCCTACAAACTTACAATTCACACTCAGATCCTCATTCCAGCCTCCAGGCTACTGGGCAGAAAGCCTCTTTTTGCCACCTCTTGAGAGTATTCTTGGATTCCAGCTGGAGTCACGTCACTTTGGAATCAACACAAAGTGACCATCATCCACCTCTGCTACCACCTCCATCAGTGTGGTCTTTCCTCAGAGCTCAGTTACCTGTCTCCTTTTCTTCTTAGAAGATCAGAAAACAAAGCTTTTATCTAGACATTATTACCTTGTTTACAGCTTGGCAGAAAGCTGGGCATTTTTGGTGTTTCTTTTCCAGCCCTTTTCTGGGAAAAGAGGAGCACTGAACAAAGAAAAGAATTAATTAGAGTCTGCAAGCAAGTGACCAGGAACCCCACCTCATGATCACATGAATGAAGCACCCGCGTGTTCTTATAATTCAGTGGGAAACTCTTCGCCCTTCAGTCACTCTGAATCTCAGTGGCTTGTGATTTGGTGTTGCTTGTTTCTTCCTCTGAGGTAGTCAAGAAAGAAAATAACACAAAACTACTGAAATCCTATAGGTGATGAGTCTCTCAGGTTTTAAGGAAGATGGAGCAGTAGAAAAATTGTAAATTATAACTAATCATCCAACAAGATGATCAGAGAGGAGTGCAATCTTATCTCAATACAAATTCCATAATAGAAATGTCTCTGTGAATTATAAGTATCTTACAGAAGAAACAAACTAGTTTCCTTAGGAGAACTAAGATCCTAGAGAGATGCCATGCCTGTAGGCAAAAGAGAAGCCCAAAAGCCTTAAAGATGGGGCTAGAAAACCCTCATCTCAGCCCAAAATCTCCTTAAGCTGATAAGCAACTTCAGCAAAGTCTCAGGATACAAAATCAATGTGCAAAAATCACAAGCATTCCTATACACCAATAATAGACAAACAAAGAGCCAAATCATGAGTGAACTCCCATTCACAATTGCTACAAAGAGAATTAAATACCTAGTAATACAACTTAAAAGGGATGTGAAGGACCTTTTCAAGAAGAACTACAAACCACTGATCAAGGAAATAAAAGAGGACCCAAACAAATGGAAAAGCACTTCATGCTTATGCATAGGAAGAATCAATATTGTGAAAATGGTGAAAATGGTCATACTGCCCAAAGTAATTTATAGATTTAATGCTATCTCCATCAAACTACCATTGACTTTCTTCACAATATTAGAAAAAAACTACTTTAAATTTCATATGGAACTAAAAAAGGGCCCACATAGCCAAGATAATCCTAAGCAAAAATAACAAAGCTGGAGGCATCACTCTGCCTGACTTCAAACTATACTTTAATGCCATAGTAACCAAAACAGCATGGTACTGGTACCAAAACAGATATATAAATCAGTGGAACAGAACAGAGGCCTCAGAAATAACACCACACATCTACACCCCTGTTATCTTTGACAAATCTGGCAAAAACAAGCAATGGGGAAAGGATTTCTATCTAATAAATGGTGTTGGGAAAACTGGCTAGCCATATGCAGAAAACTGAAACTGGACCCCTTCCTTAGACCTTATGCAAAAATTAACTCAAGATGGTTTAAGGACTTAAACAATAAACCTGAAACCATAAAAATCCTAGAAGAAAACCTAGGCAATACCATTCAGAACATAAGCACGAGCAAAGACTTAATGACTAAAACATCAAAAGTAATGGCAACAAAAGCCAAAATGGACAAATGGGATATAATTAAACTAAAGAGCTTCTGCACAGCAAAAGAAACTATCATCAGAGTGAACGGGCAACCTACAGAATGGGAGAAAAATTTTGCAATCTATCCATCTGACAAAGGACTTATATCCAGAATCTACAAAGAACTTAAACAAAATTACAAAAAATAATAATAATAATAACCCTATCAAGAAGTGGGTGAAGGGTATGAACATACATTTCTCAAAAGAAGACATTTATGTGGCCAACAAACATATGAAAAAAAGCTCATCTTCACTGGTCATTACAGAAATGCAAATCCAAACCACAATGAGATACCATCCTACACCAGTTAGAATGGCGATCATTAAAAATTCATGAAACAACAGATGCTGGAGAAGATGTGGAGAAATAGGAACACTTTTACACTGTTGGTGGGAGTATAAATTATTTCAACCATTGTGGAAGACAGTGTGGCAATTCCTCAAGGATATAGAACTAGAAATAGCATTTGGCCCAGTAATCCCATTACTGGGTATATATCCAAAGGATTATAAATCATTCTACTATAAAAACACACAAACATGTATGCCTATTGTGGCACTATTCACAACAGCAAAGACGTGGAACAAACCCAAATGTTCATCAATGATAGACTGGATAAAGACAATGTGGCACATATACAGCATGGAATACTATGCAGTCATAAAAAAGAATGAGCTCATGTCTTTTGCAGGGACATGGATAAAGTTGGAAACCATCATTCTCAGCAAATTAACACAAGAACTGAAAACCAAACACTGCATGTTCTCACTCATAAGTGGGAATTGAACAAAGAGAACACATGGACACAAGGAGGAGAACATCACACACAGGGGCCTGTTGAGCGGTGAGGGACTAGGGGAGGGAGAGCATTAGGAGAAATATCTAATATCTAATGTAGATGACAGTTTAATGGGTACAGCAAACCACTATGGCACATGTATGCCTATGTAACAAACCTGGACGTTCTGCACGTGTACCCTAGAAGTTAAAGTACAATAATAATAATTTTAAAAGTTGATCTGAAAAAAAAAAGATGGGGCTAGAAAAAAGCAGAGTTTTGGCCAAATTGAGTTTGGAAGGATGAGTGCTTCCCAAAGAGAGAGGACGTGGTAGAGGGAATAGACAGACTTCCCCAGGGTGGCCCAGAACCAGGGAACAAAGGAAGGACTCTCTGAAGCCTACAAGAAGGGAGCAAATATTACAGCACCAGGAAATGTCCTGAGACACCTGGACCAGGGTCCCCAGAGACTACCAACGAAGGGAGGCCAGAGAACAGGTTAGTTATATTCACACCACCGAGCACAGGGCCTGGGACATATAAGCACTACATGAGTACTTGTTAAATGAACGACTGAGCAAATGAAAGAATTAAAAGCAGGTGGGCGTGGTGGCTCACGCCTGTAATCTCAGCACTTTGGGAGGCCGAGGCCGGTGAATCACCTGAGGTCAGGAGTTCAAGACCAGCCTGGCCAATACGGTGAAACCCTGTCTTTATAAAAAAAAAAAAAAAGAAAAAAGAATTAAAAGCAGACCTAGAGCACAAAAGAGAGGGGAGAGAATTGATTACCCTTTTTGAAGCTTTTATGAATCTCAATTAAATCAGGATACTCTTTCAGGTTACTCTTGCTGAACAGGACTGACAGAACTGAACAATCAAACACCTTCTCCAGGTGGCAGAGAACCTGGTACACAACTTTCTGTACAGGAATCAAGTTTACACAGGCTTCTTGAGAATTCTGTTAAAAAAATTTCAATGGAAAAAATACACAAAATAATAGCTTTAAAGTTAAACAAAGATCGACAATGTAATTGCATAGAATACTTTCCTTGTTCTCAGTGTAGACTACTATTTTTCATTATATAAATATTAATATATATATTTACATATATATATATTTAAGATGGAGTCTCGCTGTGTTGTCTAGGCTGGAGTGCAGTGGTGCTATCTCAGCTCACTGCAACCTGCACCTCCTGGGTTGAAGTGAATCTGTTGCCTCAGCCTCCTGAGTAGCTGGGATTACAGGCATGTGCCACCACACCTGGCTAATTTTCATATTTTTAGTAGAGATGGGGTTTCACCATGTTGGTCAGGCTGATCTTGAACTCCTAACCTCATGATCCACCTGCCTCAGCCTCCCAAAGTGCTGGAATTACAGACATGAGCCACTGTACCCAGCCTAGAACTTTTTAAATATTTGATCCACTGCTTTAGAAAAACAAGTAAACCCTACCTCTTGACTTTTGAGCTCTTATCCTGCCCAGGATGCCTCGGGAATAAATCTTACAGTGATTTCGTTGTCTGTACAGCAGTCACTGCCCCCACACTCCCCACCTTCCTCCTACGGTATGAGAAGTCCTGGACAGGCTCCAGGAGATTGGGAGGTGGTTCTTCCCTTGCCATAAAGAACACAATAGAAAGGGCACAATCACACACTGAAGACATGGCTTCCTTCTCTGCATCTCCATGGCACTGTACAAACTCACCTGAATTCCAAGGCTCCACAACTACCCAATGAAATGTAAACACTTTAGAGGAGACAGCAGCAAGGCAGAAATTTGTTTGATAACAATTATAGTGGCACAAATTCCCTGGGGGTTACCTCTGACATAAGTAAACATTACCAAGCAAGACTGCTTCCATTATCTTGGTTATCGTAATTTTGTTTTATTCTTGTATGTTGTATAAATCACTACATATTTGCAGAGCATATCAGTTTCACTCCAGCCATGTCATCATTACCTTCCACTCCCTCCCCAACAGTTGCTACAAAAGAACAGGGCAACTGCGTGCAGTGGCTCACTCCTGTAATCCCAGCACTTTGGGAGGCCGAGGTGGGTAGATCACCTGAAGTCAGTAGTTCAAGACCAGCTTGACTAATGTGGTGAAACCCCATCTCTACTAAAAATACAAAAATTAGCTGGGCATGGTGGCAGGCGCCTGTAGTCCCAGCTACTTGAGAGGCTGAGACAGGACAATTGCTTGAACCAGGGAGGCAGAGGTTGTGGTGAGCAGAGATCATGCAATTGCACTCCAGCCTGGCTGACAGAGCAAGGCTCTGTCTCAAACAAACAAACAAAAAAAAAGAACAGGGCTTGAGTTAGAAATAGAGAGTCTTGTCTAGGCAAAGTGGTTCAGCCTGTAATCCCAATACTTTGGGAGGCTGAGGTAGGAGGTTCATTGAGGCCAAGAGGTCAAGACCAGCCTGAGTAACATAGCAAGATCCCATCTCTACCAAAATAATAATAATAATAATATCCAGGTGTGGTGGCATACACCTGTAATCCCAGCTACCCAGGAGGCTAAGGTGAGAGGTTTACTTGTGTCCAGGAGGTCTAGGTTGCAGTGAGCCATAATTGTGCCACTTTATTCCATCCTGGGACACACAGTAAGAAGCTGTCTCTAAACAAAAGGAAGGAAGGAAGGAAGGAAGGAAGGAAGGAAGGAAGGAAGGAAG